CCCCCCCCCCCCCCCCTCCCTCCACGGCCAATGGAAAACCGAAGCAGGATACCGACTGCCTCGTCGATCGACCAACCAAAATCATCGTCCCAGGCGCTGGTGTGCTGCACCAGGAATACCCAGCCCCTTCGTATTTTTCCCTTCAGACGGCCCACTTGGGTTGGTTTTGGTGGTGGCGTCTTCTTGGGAACAGGCAGAAGAGCAGGCACTGGATAAGCAGGGATTGAAAGAGGCGTGCCGGGGGGAGCGGGGGGGGGTGTACTCGTGAAGACGCATGTTGTAGTCGGAAGACGGTGGACTGCTTGGGGCATGGTCACGCTCATTGTTGGGGCGAGAAGGGCGGGGGGGGGGGACAAACCACATGAACCAGAGTTGTTTAGCCATGTGGTCAATCGTGTGGAAGCCATGAGCACCATGAATCATCGCCGGCCGTCATCACCGCCATCATCGTCGTCAAGATTACTTCCGGAGCAAACAACCACACGCTTGTCTCGTACCTGGGTAACGCTGAAGCAGACTCCCAACACGTTGGGTACGTAGATGAAGGCATTGACCAGCATCACTCCGTAGGACATCCACAGCGTCGAACAGACCAACGAAACCACGGCCAGCGCGAGCGACATCCCCTCTGTTGACCTCCGGCGTATCACCTGCTTCACGCGACGATGTAAAACGCAGAGCATGAAAACACGCAATAACATACACCAGCCCCTCAAAACACGACATCAAGGATACCTATCACGGGTTCAGCTAATGTTGCATACGCAAGCAAACATTAAATAGCACTACCCGAATAGCAGGGTTGGCATTAAGTCTCACCACATGGCGTAGCCTTGCCGACATGGCATCACACCCAACGGCACAGCAGCTAAGAGTGGAAGATAGCATACGACTCAACATCAACGCCGATGTATACATGAAACACTCGCGAGGGTTTCAACCACCCCTCCACAGAGAATCCACAGTCTGTGCGAGCGGCCTGAGCGAAAATATCGTGGCAGTACAGCAGTACAAGAAAAAAGGGAGAAACCGCACCAAAAAACAACATTCCATGTCAACGAAAAACAAACGC